TCGAAAATGAATAGATTTTATTGAGAAGTTAATTATTACCTTGTCCGTTGTTATGGGTTTTCATTCAATTTTCGACCCCCTACTACTTTGAATCTCCACAAAGGTGATCAGGTGTTGAAATTCTCAAGTGAAAAACAAAAGAATCTAAAGGAAGTAAATAACAATTTGAAAGGAAATTGTTTGAATAAATAGCGGGAAATTTAATAATAATTCGATTGCTCTTCCTACTTGTGATGGAAATTAGTTTCGCATCGGCTCATTAAGTCGGCAGAGCTTCTCAAGCGAAAAAAATTGCCATCGAACCCAACAACAATATCAAAGCGACGACAAAAACACCTACTGAGTCCGAAAGGTTCCTGAAAACCGGCTATGAAAAGAAGTAAATGAAAGTCAATAATCGATCGATTTCAATTGCCAGGAATCCCTTATTTTTACTTTCTGTCAGTTAGCCCTACTCCCTAGTGGAAGCGCCTATAGCTATAGCTTAGTTTCTTGGACTGCCAAACCCTAAATTTACCTACAGGGACTGAATCTGAAGGGATGTGGTATATACCAGAATCGTTTCAACACAATCACCTCTTACTTTTTCAGTAAAACCTGAAATGAAGTACATTGGCAATATGCATGGTAACGAACCGATTGGACGAGAACTACTCATCCGCCTAGCTGATTACCTTTGTGAAGCAGCTATCAAGAAAGATAAGGTTTGTACAGAAGATCGTCAAGTATCAAAAAGATATATCACGAAGACTTTCTCTATATCACGAGGAAATATTTCAAATTTGGTTAACCAATTACTTTGAATTTGATCATATGAAGATCCCGGCATCTGAAACTAACACCATCGATGAACCCTGTACTGAACAGTAATTAATACCGTTTTTGGTCTAGCAAATCTTGCTTGGCTTGATTTAGGTAGAAGTTCTGAGTTTTTGGAGGTTGGAGGACAGTGCATCTCGAAGCGCTGGCTAAAATTGGTCGCTGTGCCGAAACCCTTGTGTTAGAGGGTTCTTTCAGGAGAATTAAGTCATTTATCAGCATTTTTCTCCGCTTCAAAACTGGTTTTGTCTTTTCCTTAAGCTTCAACTCCATCGATCGCTAAACTAGTAATTTCCTGAGATTTCTTAAATTCTTCGAGCAACCCTAACATCATTCACGGAACGCTTCATTCTGGTACTATAAACTTCGTTCAGTTTGTTTGTCATTGAAGAAGGGGAAGGCACGTTCATTTGTCATTACAAATTCAAGATTATAAGAGTCCATGGCATATCCCAATTGAAATAGATCGAAGTCGAACACTACATAGGTCTCCCAATTGTTGACTGTTTGGATGCTTTTGAAAGCATTCGTTTCGATTCATTTCAACAATTCCCGTTAGATGTGAATTCCAATGTTTTTCTCATTCCATACCATCTGTGGCGGCTAAGGTGAAACCTGATCCTCAAGATACAAAAGGAATGCTTCGGACTAGTTGAAAAGAAGGAGTACTCACGATAAATTGAAATTGGAAGTTTTTTCCAATATCGCTCATGAAATGGGCCGAAATTTTATAGCTCTCAACTCACTTCCGTGTTGTTCCCTCTTTGCATTTCCATCTTGAGGCATAGGTGTCTCACCTGCGGTGTCGGTGAAGCAAAAGTCCTGCTTTACAAACCACAGCTTTCGCTGTAAACATGATTGTTCGTGGGGTCTTTGAAAAGAATAGACGAGCAAGACTATTCTTCAGTGAAGGTTCAGATTTCCAACTTTAACTTCCTGCTTTTTGTCGTGCCGCATAGGACTGCTAGACGGGACTTCGTGGAGATCCCGTGGGAACTGATTCTGCCTCACACAATGGTTAGAGAGAGAAACAGAAAGAATTGAACAGGCTGTCCCGATGGATCAGGATGTTCTCTGATATAAAATATTCACATAATCATTTCTCCCATTCGCTACCGTATAATGAATCACCAATGCTCATCAGGGATTCTTCGTGGGTCGGGCAGTGTCCCCTGATGAATGCCGTCAGCGCTGTGACGGCAGCAACGTTCATACATAAATTAATAAATACTCAAATTTTGACGATAAATCGATAGAGTTTATAGCAGAAATCAACACTGTCAAATACTTTGGTCTAAACGAATGCCCACATGCAAGCGGAAGTCACTCCATTTCGTCGAACTTCCCAATTAGCAGTGCCACTTTGCACCAGCCTCCTCCGTCTTTACCCTTTGACTGCCAAAGAAAAATACTTTCTAAAATCTAGCAAATCATTATATTGTAAGGACAGGAAAGTTGGCTTCACCCGGGAGTAAGATCAGGGGCTAGTATAAGACCGATATGGCCTCTAGAAAGAAAGAAGATCGACGCTCTCCACATATTCGGCAGACCGCATTCTGAAGTATTCCAGTCCTTCGAAATATTTGATACTTGACACGACTGAAATATGACCTTTAATTCCAATTTGTATAAGACCCCTACCATTTACTTACTTTACCTCTCCAGGACAGAAATCGAGTGCATGGCGCATCGAGCATACAAAGATCCTCACATGTCAGCAAGATGACAAATAAACTAATTTTTAATCTCCTGCTATCCTTTTTGACAATTCATGAGAATTCCTGAGACTTGTCAGGATGCCATAGCAACGCAAAGTTCAAGTTGGAAGGGAACGACATAAGTAAACGGGCGAGAATCTATGAATTCTGGATGAGAAAGCCTTCACTGGGCAATCATATTGATCAATAACAATATTATTGTTTCAAATGAAAAGCGGCTTGGCACCAACATTGGCAAATATTTACATCATAAAATTTTTTGACCATTTGGTTTTAGGAAGTTCTGCAATTACTCAATTCAACCTCAATCCACATTCTGCCTTCGATGAATCCTGATGGCTTCGAACGTGCATTGAATACGGTAGGTAAAGAATGGCTTTGAGTTTATTCGATTTCTGTTATTTCCCACATCCTCTCTCCGATAAAAAGCCAAAGCAGAGGCGACTAACATAAGACTGCCGATGACGTCAATAGCTCGTCAGGCGAGCTTCTGGCCAAAGAAAGTAGTTTCTAGTCGTGAGAAAAAGA